TTCAGAGCTCTCGCGAACGCTCACACCCCCTACTCCGGTGCAGAGTGAGGGGGTCACTATGGTGGGCCACGGATGATTCGGAACGGTGTGCTCTGGAAACCCAAGTGTGTACATGTATGTGTTATTTACTGAATACCTACAAGTATGCAGCAAATACTGCGTACATGATCATGTATGCAGCAAATAGTGTGTACATGACCATGTATGCAGCAAATACTGTATACATGGCCATGTACACACGTAGAGCTCTATGCTAATAGCTATGTGCCTAAGTGTGTACCTGGCCATGTATGCAGTATTTGCTGCATACATGTAGGTATTCAGTAAATAACGCATACATGTACACACTTGGGTTTCCAGAGTGGAGTCGTGTGGACTTTGAAAGAGAACACGAAACTATGGGGTACTATCTAGATTTCTCTGTTTTGGACAGGTTGTGGGTGGGTTCGTTGGCATTTTTAGCGCGGACGACGACGCAGGCTTGTTAGCACTGTCCGCAACCGCTTGCGGGAGCAGCACATAGCAGCTGCTGCCTCCTCGCTAAAAGTCAAATGGTCGGGGACGACACGCTAACACTCGAACCCGCATCGGGTGGAATTTGTCCCCAAGCGAAGCGAGGCGCCTTCTGGCTGGACCATAGGCCACCCGCACCGACAGCGCAGGGCGGCGGGCGTGCCAACCATGCAGGGGCCCGTCGAGGCGGCGGGGAGCTGGCAGCGCCCAAATGCCTGAATAACGTGCTGTGTTTTCGCGGGGAATATGTTAAGACTCTGATGACAAGCAGCGTGTGGTTTTACTTCAGGTGGTTTATTGACAGACTGCTATAGTTTAAATGTGCAGAGACAGTTGACGACTGACAATGATGCCAACGTATGAATGTAACATTCCATTACACAACATAACGTGTAATTATTCGCGAGAAAAGACTCTGGTCATTTCGGCCTTTACGGTAATCGTTGTGCCCCGCGGCCGCGGCGCCCTCCACACCGGAGGCTCCAGAGCCGAGGCCGGCCGACATTCAGTGGCTCCGCTCGGGCTAACCCAGGCGTAATGGCTGGATCTAGGCGATCAGGTAATGTATTTAGAAGAAATGTACACCTTAAAAGTATTTTATTAACGCAAAGCACAAGTTAAACTTCAAAACTACTGAATTTTCAAACTGTGAGTTACCTTTAGAGCATTTAAACAAATAATCAATAAATAACTGGTTGGAAAACGACGGAAAGAGTAAACGTTTGCTCACTTTTGCAACCACCACCACGTTAAAGAAGCTGGTTACAAGTACACTTCAGGTATTCCTACTAGGATGCTGCCACGTTACACTCCCCTTGCAGACCACATGAGCGTGCGCGGGCAAGGATCTTCCTATAGTCTGACACTGCAACAGGCAGCCAGCGACCTGCTCTCTGCATGGGACAGATGAAGGACGTACAAGAACAAGCCGCCGCAAGGCTCGCAAACCACACGCCGCCAAGTCTCCGCCCAAGTCAGGGTAGTAAAATGATCGTTTTCTACTATCACTGACGCTACAGTATATGCAGAGGTGCTGCACTGATGAGGCGTAGGCGCGGATCAGCGACATCATTGTGTCCTTGAGGCGAGTATTGAGGCCCACGCTAAGCCACCGCACAGCTCCGTGCTCCGAGGGGGCGAAGGTCAAATTTGGGCCATAATAATCGTATACCTTCAGGCTGCGCAGCCTAGACATCCGCTCCACACATCGCAACTGATTCTCTCTTGGATGATGAACCGCGAGCTCCTCGAGCTGCAACGGGAGGTCCGGAAAGTCCACGGATGTATCTTTAACACAGTTTACGGCCAGTCTTTTCAGTGACGTCATTCTCTCCACTTCCACCATGACACTCGGCTGAACCTCGCCATTGATCTGCAGTTCCTCGAGCTGCGAGGCGAGGACGCGCAGCAGCTCCTCCAGACCATCGCCGTGAGAGCACTTTAAGCTGCGTGTGTTTCTCCATCGTGGCCGGTCTAGGAGTATGTCATTAACTTTAAACTTGCCATC